CCTTTCTCCATTGTTCAAGAGGTTGTGTCCCCTCTTTTCAAAATTTACCGATTCAGATTCAACCATTCATTCGTTAATTGTACTAGGAGTAGAGACTTACCACTGCAAATTTATGGAAAATGCTGAACAAATACAAGCTCTTACTACTATGGGGCACTGTGGGGGAACCAATATGCACAGGAGGCCCCAGACCTCAACAATAAGAGTGAAAGGTAGGTAACAGCTACCACTTACGAAATGCTTGCCTGTAATGGGCTAGGTACTACACAGATATTACGCAGTCTGTGCTGGACATTATCTACTCCAGGGAGGCAGTTGTTGATGATGACTAAGAGTAAGGATTCAGGGCCTCCCTGGTGGTGCAAGGGCTTAAGCAATCCGCAGTCTCTACAGCACAAGTTGGATCCCCGGTCGGCCAGGGAGCTACCCACATGGCGCAGCAGACCTCTCCTGTCTTGCCCGCTGCTCCTCTCGGCATTGTGTTTCAGTCTGTCTGCCTGTTCTATTCCCCACTCTGTCTCTGGTGTATCCTCTCACCCCCTGCATCTCTGGCCTGTACCCCAGTTCTTGTATGCATAAATAAATAAATCTTTAAAAAGAAAAAGAGTAAGGATTCAAAAGCCAAAGTTTTTGTGCTGGCTCTTCCACTTACTGGCTTAAACATTTTTTGCCTTAGATTCTCCCTCTGTAAACTCATCTCCTAGAGTTGTTATAAAGATTTAAATTAGGGCCTCCCCGGTGGCGCAGCTGTTGAGCGCTGGGTTGCGAAGCTGCCCGCGGCCTCTGCAGCGCCAGTTCGATCCCCGGCTGCTCCCCGGCCACCGGAGGAGGGTCCCACATGGCGCGCAGACCTCTCCTGCCGCCCGCTGCTCCCCTCAGCAGTGTACTTCAGTCCTTCTGCCTGCTCTGCTCCCCGCTCTGGCTCTGGTGAATTCTCTCACCCTCCTGTGCTTCTGACTGTACCCAGTGCATGTATAAACAAAACAAACAAACAAATTAAAAAAAAAAAAAGCCTCTATTAAAAAAAAAAAGATTTAAATTATTAAATAAGATAAGATAGAAGAGGTACTTGGAGCACTGCCTGGCACATAATAAGATCAGCATTCAATCAATGCTAGCTATTATTATTATTTCATGCAATACAACTACCCAATATGAAATACCCAGTATGAAGAAGCTGAGGATAGAGAGGCTGAGTAATTTGCCCAAAGTACTATAGCCAATAATGGAACTAGGATTTAGGCCCCTGGTCTGTTTTGATATCAAATTCCATTTTCTTTATTGTTATAACCTAGAAGGGAAGAAAACATGCACACCTAACCATTTTACTAGATCAAAAAAGCAGATGAGACTGCAGAGCACAGAATATATTCGTGACACATGATAAATTCTCAGTAAATATCATGAAACGGTGCTGCTGATGATAAAATTACCATTCTAAAATTTTATGGTGTCAGAGGAAAGAGAGATCATGTCCTAACACACTGGAGACTTTCTTTTTTTAAAAAAAGATTTATTTATTTATGCATACAAGAACCAGGGTACAGGCCAGAGGTGTGAGGTGGGGGTGTGTGTGAGAGGATTCACCAGACACAGAGTGGGGAACTGAACAGGCAGATCCACTGAAATACAGGGCTGATGGGAGCAGTGGGTGAGACAGGAGAGGTCTGCTGCGCCATGTGTGTAGCTCCCTGGCTAGCCAGGGATCAAACTAGTGCTGCAGAGGCTGAGGATAGCTTCACAGTGCTGTGCTTAACCTCTTGTGCCACCAGGGAGGCCCAGAGTTGGGGACTTTCTTGAAGAAGGTAGCATTCAACCAGGCCATAGCAGATGGGTGAGTTGAACACAATGAGAAAAGAGAAGGTAACCCTTGGAGCAGAAACTGTGTGAATAAATGCAGGAATGTTTGGGTGTGTTTGATAAAAGAAAAACAGCACAAAATTCCATTTAGATAGAATGTGGTGTTTGAAAGGAAATCGTTGGGATGAACTATAAAGGAAGGACATGTGCCAACATCAATAAAGGAGGCCATCACCACAACACTGGCTGACACAGAGAGTTCTCACACTCCAATAAGTCACTTCTGGAACTCACACTGGGGAAAGAACCATAGCAGAGATTCAGAATGAGGAATATTCAGGCAACTACTTCACAACAGGGCTTAAATTTGAGGTGGAGGCTGGGTGGGGCTGATACTCGAACAACACCTGTGTGTGTGTATATAGGTTGTTAAAATATTAGAGCGCTTTGAACCTAGAGGACATTATGGTAAGTGAAGTAAATCAACCTCAGAAGGACACATACTGTGTGATTCCACTCACAGGAAGTACTGACAGTGGTCAGAATCACAGAGACAGAAAGAAGAAAGCTCAAGGGCTGAAGGGGTGAGAGTGGAGAAAGGGTTCAGCGGGTACAGCGTTTCAGTTTGCAAGATGAGAAAGTTCTAGAGATCTTTTGTACAACCCTGTTAACATACTTAACGCTACTGAACTGGACTCTTAAATATGGTTAAGATGGTAAATCTAATGTTACACATGTTTTACAATAAAGCAAACAAAAGCAACTCTTCCTACTCCCTCCCCACCCACCCCAGTATATTAAAGTGCTTCTCCTGCCACTTTAGTAAATGGCACTGCCCTGAGCCACCAAAGGCCCCTCCTCCGGGCCTGAGAACCTCCCTGACATCATGTCATGAAAGGGTTAATGTCTGGTACTAGTTTGAACATCACCCCTGGGGCTAGGGCACTTGGTTTGAGATACTTTGCACAATGTTGTTTTGGGTTTTTTTTAAGATGGAAAACTACAACAATTATATCAATAAATGGAGGAGGCAGGTAGGGTGGTTGCTACAGAAGAGAGGAAAAGCAACAGAGGCAGCCACAACTCTCCCGCCTCAATGTGCCTCCTACAAAATCCTCATAAAAGAGAGTAGGCCTTGCTTGGAACTCTCCTTGCTGAGTCACCAGCTGCAGCCCTGGCAGCCACACCACTGTGCTACTGGGGAGTCTGAGAGGGTGACTTCTGTGCCCAGGGGACCACAGGGTGGTCCATGCCAGCACACTGGCCTCTGCTGATGACTGGGCACACACCTGACTGTGTGCCTCGTGGGCTCCTGGTTTGCCCAGTGCTCCCAGCATCAGATATGTCTCATCCCTCCATTACTGTGACAATGCTGTGGAAGATGCCAGAAAACAAACAAACAAACAAACAAACAAAAAACAACACTGGAGAGTTGCTTCTTGGCAGCATTGGCTCAGTCTTTTCTCTCCCCAATGAACCAAGTTGTGTTGATTGTGTTGGTGCTTAGCTGCTCCTTGGCCTGCTGGAGATCCATCATCTGCATAGCAGTGCAGCTGCCTCTCACTCAGGAGGTGAGCGGAGGAGAGATGGAAGTGGAACCTGGGCCTCCCTCCTCTCTGCTTCAACTATTCTTGTCCTGCCCCAGCCAATGGCCTCTCTCAGCCCTGCATTTCTGTCTGTTTACTCCTACTCCCCACACTCACATTCCCCCAAGTACCTGTTTTTCACAGAAGAGGGAAGAAGGAATTCTGAGGCAGAGTCCTGCACTGGAGGGGGTTGTGTATGTGAAGATATCCCCAGGGAAGCTCCAGAGGTCAGATTGAGTGGGGCTCTGGGATGAGCAGAGTCCCTGAATCCTAGTGCCCAGAGCAGCTCCTCATTCAAGAAGAGGACCCCATCCTTGAGCCAGGAAACAGCAGGAAGGGCCTCCTCCCTCTGCCCTCCTGCTAAGTGAAGAGATCTTTTCTTTAGAAAAGCCAGAGCCTTCCATCCCCCTGTATGGAGAGGAGGTGATTCCCTTGCCCTTAGGTGTGGCTGCTGTCGGAGCCCTTTGCAAGGCCTTTTCTTTAGGGGGGAAGGAGAGCCCATGAATTGCACTGAGGACCTGGGCAAGGGGGTGGAAAGGACACAGGAAATGGGGGGCAGACGCAGTGTCTCTGCTGGCCCATCAGTCCCCCCAATGCAGTGGGGCCTGCCTACCAGTCCCCAGCCCAGGGAGCACAGGTGTTTTCCATTTTGGACCCCCAAGTCCTCCAGCTGCGGCGCGTGTAATCTCTGTTCACCCGCCCGCTGCTGGCCTGATCCCCCCACCACCCTGGGTCCAGTGAACATGGGCCTGATGTCACCTCTGTCTGTGGGAGACCCTCTTTCAATTCTTGACCCCAGTTCCTAATCTCTTTACAGCAGCCACCAGTCTCAAATGGGCTGTACTGATGTCAGGGTGCAAGGGAAAGTCCCCCCACCATATCTGGATTCTTCTAAAGCTTGAGGGGTGAACAAATTAAAACATCAAACAGGTTAGTAGGAGAAAAGGCCCCACGTAACAGCCTGCATATGGAGAAAGTGCATGGTTGCACAGGATAATGGAACAGACAAGGGAACTCATCCTGTATTTAGGGGCTGGGGGCATCAAGGGTGGGGAACTTCCCATGACAGACAAAAGGTGGGTGCCCTCATCTTCACAATCTACATTAAGTGATGGTAATATACTCCCAAGGCTCAAGGCCTCCATGACCTCTAGTTCCACCCCAAGGTGACAAGAGCCCTATGTTTTGGGTGTACTGTGAAAAGCCTGTCTGACTCCTTTTGGGAGGCCAACTCACATTGATTGGGGGACTTGGTTCAGCCTTTTCTGGGCATTACCAGTGTTGATCTGGCTACTCCCACAGCCTGGTCACCCAGTGATGGCTCTTGATTCAGCCGGCAGAACTAGAAAAGGGCCCCTCTTATCCACCAAACTGTTCCCAAGCTGTGGTAGAGCACTTTATATTCCTATAGATAACAATGCCTGATTTTTCCTGAAATTTTTCAAGTGCCAGGCACTGCCCAAAATACTTACATGCATTACTTGCTTAATCCTCACAACCCCACGAGGAATATATTATTATCAGCTCCAGTTCCAGACTGAGGAAACTGGAGCCTAAAAGTGTAAAATATTGAAAGCTGCATGTAAGAGACAGAGCCAGGATTCCAGACCAAACTATTAATAACTCCGGAGTGCAGGCATGCTCTTAAACACCGTGCCAAGAGGTCACGAAGGGACACACAACTGACGCCAATCTTTCTTCAGAATGCGTGGTGGTGGGCTGGGTGGAGAAGCACATGAGGAGGCGGCTACCTGAAAGAGAGGGGAGGGGGAGACTGCAGAAAAAGGACTGAAGCCCAAGGCCAGAGAGGTCAGGCCTCGCTCCCCTGTGCTCCAAGACCTGGCTCCCGAAGCAGGTGGTGCGGGCGCCATGGGCGAGGAGAGAAGAGAGACAGAGAGTGAGCAGAGGGGGGCCTACCGGGAGGAATGCAGGCAGGCTGAATTGAGAAAAATGGTGAGAGGATGCAGCATGTCAGGGAGCAGGAGGGTTGGGGGAGCTGGGGAAGCCACTTAACCCCAGAAGTGATTCATGGTGGACCCAGGCAGTCAGCAGCAGACAGCAGCTGCCGCCTGAAAGCAGTCAGCTCCTCCTTGCAACCTTCTTGCTTGGACCAAGTTTATCCAAAGACAAGATCCCAGAGCCCCTCTCAATAGGGCTACCAGGTCCTGGGGAAATGAGGGGCAGGGAAGCAGAAGGTGAGCAAATAGTAATGCTTCCGGAGGCTGGGCTCAGGGCCCGCCTGGCAACGCTGGTTCCTTGGCCTTGAAGCCAAGACAGGCACAGGCCAGGGCAGGAAGGAAGGGAGGCCACCCCCAAGCCGGGGGGATACCCTGCCCACAGGCTAGTGTCCTTTGCGAAACACTCCAGAGAAAATAGCAAAAGTGAGACAAAGGATTTCCTTCCTCCTCTGACTTGTCAGAAATCCCCTCAGGGTTCTTCCAGGAGCCCTGGTTCTATCTTTATAACAATCCTAGACACTGATCAAAGTTTTAATCCACCCTTCAAACAGGAAATGGAAAGGAAGCAAGATTGAAAAGATGCGTCAGAGGCTGTCGCTGTGCTGGCGGAGCTTGCTGGTTCTTGCCACGGGGATAAAGCTAAGGACACAGATTTCTCCTGCATTGCATTTGATGGGGGTGGGGGTGCAGAGCCACAGCCTATAACTGGGGGCCAGGGGAAAACAGTGCAGGTGGGGGAGGCTGCAGGGGAAAGGGAGGCTTGGGAGAGGAAGAAGAGGTGAGGGGGTGGGAGGTGAAAGGGAAAGGTGAGGACTGGAAGGGGCAGGGCGTGAAGGGGAAGCAAGAGAAGTCATCACTAACAGGTCTGTCTTTGCTCCTCCTGCCTTTCCAGTCCTCTGTAGGCTCTTGATCAGGAAGTTCTCGCCACTGCCCTTACATTCTTTTCATTTTGACTCACCCACCTACCCCTCCAGGAGCTTCCTGTGACTTGCCTGGACCACATCAGGTCTTCTTAGCCTCAGTTCCTCCCAAATCCAACTCATCTTTTCACCATTCTAGCATGACTTCTAATATAGCTTCTGCATGACATTCTCCTGCGTCATCATTTCATGTGCCCCTTCTTCAACGCCCACCTTTCCATTTGGTGTCATAGAAAGAGCACAGGCTTTTGTAGAATAGACCTCAGAGGTTCTCAGCCTGGACTCTACTGGTGTTTGGGGCCAGACAGTCCTCTACAGTGAGGGGGAGGAGGGTCGTGGAAAGGTTAACTCAGCTCTCCATTCTAGTACCACCAAGGAAAACAGACAGAGTCCCTCAGTCAGCCTCTGCGCCCAAGACCCAGTCTTCCCTCCTTTTCCCTTCCAATTCCAACCCTGTACATCCTTCAAGGCTGAGTTTGATCCCACCTCCTCCTTGAGACCTTCCCAGATTGCATCAGCTCAGTGTAAGTGCTTGCTTCTCTAATGCTGAACAGTGTTTAATAACCTAATCACATGAGCCTGAGTACTATACTGGTTAGACTTAATGATCAGTTGTTTAATTTATGTGTTGCTGCTATTTTTAGAAAAGTTCTACCTACCTGGAGGGTCCCAAGTCCTACGTCAAGCTTTGCAGGCACGCTTGCAGCTAGGGCTGCCATAAGGCAGTGCCACAGACTAGGTGGCTTAAACAAAAGAAATCTATTTTATTACAATTCTGGAGCTGAGCAAAAGGTGTCAGCAGAGTGGTTTCTTCTGGAAGGCTCTCTCCTTGGCTTGTAGATGACTGTCTCCTCACTGTGTCTTCACATGGACTCCCCTCAGTGCCTCTTTGAGTCTCAGTCCCCTTTTCTCAAGAGACAACTAGTCAATTGGATTGACTAGTTAATTATTTTTTGACAACTTAATTATATTTTTAAAGGCTCTATTTCCAAATATAGTCATGATCTGAAGAACTAGGGGTGAGGACGCTGACATATCTTTTGGAGGAACACATTCAGCCTATAGCAATCTTATTGTAGATGCTTGGGATATAGCTCCATTTCTCCCTCAAATGTTATGAATTTGTCAGTCATTTACATGTCTATATAAATTGGGGTACATTTTCAGACCCCTTATATCGCTCAACCTCCACCAAATCTCTCTTGCCGGTTGTCTAACCCCTTTCTTCCCTGGCCCCCTCCTCCGTTCCCTCATTCCCTTGAGTAACCAATATATTTTTTCAGAGAGTCTATGAATTATTTTTTGCTGTGCTTTGCCAGTTTGTGTTCTTTGGTTATTTATATTCCACAAATAGGTGAAACCATCTGGTATCTGTCTTTCACTTTCTGACTTAATCTCACTTAGCATAATCACCTCAAGATCCATCCATTTTGTTCATATTTTATAATAGCTGAGCAGTATTCCATTAAGCATATACCCATAATTTCTCTATCCGGTCATATGTCAATGGGCATTTAGGTTGATTCCATGACTTGGCTATTGTGAATAATGCTGCTGTGAACATAGGAGTGCATAAATCTTTCTGTATTAGAGTTTTTATGTTCCTCAGATAAATACTTACTAGCGGATCATATGGTATGTCTGTGTTTATTGTTTTAAGGTTCTCAATGTCATTCAAGAAATATTTCTTATCTATCTGATTAAAAGAGATAGAAAGACAACAAGCATGTTATTAATTAGCTCCTGTGCATAGGCACGCTTAGTAATATTTGACATGATTACTTCTCTTATCATTCCCTCTTAGAACTCAATATTCTGGTTGACTTCTACGAGCCCACTTTCTTAGCTATCCTCCTTCTTCTCAAGCTACTCCTTCTCTTTTGTGAGTTCCTCTACTTCTACCATCCTTTAAAGTGTCAGTGCTCACTTTGTATAAAGGGCATGAAGTTAACCTGGCTAATGGTCACTATGTGTCAATTTTTCCTTTCTTAACCCTCCACTCCTATATCATTTATAATCAGGCCTTAAGTAAAATTTTGCTTAACCTCAACTGTGTGAAGAACTCTCAAGGACCACAATTTTGTAATAACAAGTTACTTATTTAATTGGTCAGGATGAAGAGGAGGCATATACTTAACTATTACAGATACATTGTACTGTAAAAAAGTGAAAATAGAATTTCAGAAATGGTGAGGAAAAGTAAATAAAATAACCACACACACACACACACACACACACACACACACACACACACGAGTCAGCATTCTTTCTTCCTAACTCTAAGTTCTTTTCATGGTTATCTCATGTACTCCATGGTTGCTATCATCATTTGTATTAAGATGGTTCTCCCATCTGTGGCTTCCACCAAGACCTCTTCTAAACAATTCATGCAAAGCACCAACAGCTCTACTTGGACACCTCATTGGTGTCATCATTTCATATGCTTCAACTGGATTATCTACCAATCTCCCCCCTTACACAGACACACACACACAAACACACACAAACACACACACATTTTCTTCTCCAAAGATCTTTTTCTCAGTGAACTGTATCACCATCTCCTAAGAAAAAACTTTCCTATATCCAGGATCCAAATCCTACCAGTTTTTATCCTCTTAACATCTCTTCCCATCCCCTCTTTAGCGAGTTGGCTTGGGATATTGTCTTCTCCCACTTAGATTACAAATAATCTTCTTTGCAATATCCCTGCCTATAATTCACTCTCTTCTCTTCAGCCAAAAGGGCTTTCTAAAACAAATACATTGATATCACTGCTGTGATTAAAATCTTCTAAAGCTTAACCACCTACCTTAGAGCAACAAATTTCTTAGTCTGATCAAAGAATTCTTCTTGCACTGGGCCCTCTCTCTCCAGCTTCAGCTCTTAGCCATCTCCCTGTACACTTAAACCTACATACTCTTTATTCTATCAAATTACTTACAGTTTCCCAAGATTTGTATATTCTCTTTTTGTTCCTAACTTTCACATGTTTTTCACTCTGTCTGAAATCCTTTTGTTCCTCTTCTCCTAGTTGATTCTTTTTCTTCTTTCAGGTCTTAGTTCAGACACTTCTTTCTCCAGGAAGCCTGTTCATCATTTGAGGAACAACTTTTCATTCCCTTCCCAGAAACCAACATCCTCTCCCAATCTTCACACACATTAACACCTTAAATAGCACCTGAGCCTCTCTTGTACTTCGTTCATTTATTTATTAAAGCATTTATCACACTGTAATTTATTTTTGCACCCGTCTCCCCCGAAAGTATGCAAACCCCCTGAAGCAGAGGTTGTATCTGATTCTGTCTAGAAATCTGTTTGTTCTTCCATATCCTTAGTCTGCTGTGATCCCCAAGAGGCTGACCCAGACTAATTACATCAAAGGAGTTCAGCCAGTGAAAAGAAGAGAGGAAGGCCAAGGTTTTCTCTCCCCCTGCTACATGAGTCCCTTCAGCCAAGCTCCCTCTACACATGGCTCTTTCATTCTGGATTCTGCAAAATTTCTCTCTCCTATATTTCTTTCTAAAGATTTATTTATTTATGCATACAAGAACTGGGGTACAGGCCAGAGGTGCCGGGGGTGAGAAGATTCACCAGAGACAGAGTGGGGAGCGGAGAAGGCGGATCTACTGAAATACACCGCTGAGGGGAGCAGCGGACAAGACAGGAGAGGTCTGCGGTGCCATGTGGGTAGCTCCCTGGCCGGCCAGGGAATTGAACTCATGCCTCAGAGGCTGTGGATAGCTTCACAGTGCTGTGCTTAACCCCTTCTGCCACCATACTTTCCTCCTGTACTTTCAATGTAATGTTGATAATAACTTTCTGATATTCCTAGTTCCTACACTATACCTTGTATCTCTATACTCTCCTCTCACCTTTAAGAATAGTTTCATATTAAACCCTCCCAAAGTTACCAATTACTCAGTTTAAGTTTGTCAGGACCTCATTTCCTCTTTGAGTTCCAGGCAGAGTCTATCATATATTCATTTAATGCTTGTTAAATGAATGAGTGAATGAGGAAAATAACTCAAGCAATTTGCTAGCTTGACTTATTCAATCTCCTCTTCACTTCCATTTCACAAAGAGGGAAAAATGTACAGTTTAGAACTTAGAACTGAAGTGTTAGCAAATGATGGACTCCTTGGGCAGAAGGTGTGGCTGGGGGCTTGGAAAGGCACTGTCAGGCAGAGGTCTCTCACACAAGCAGCCCCCAGCCCTCCACAGAGCCTCCAGAGCACTGACTGAATTTCCCCCATGACTCCCCAAGAAAGTCTATTCCCTGGTGTGACTATCCCAGGCTCGGTGGGAAGGGCTGTCCTTTTCTTTCTTCCTCTTGCCTAGAGACCAACTTAGAAAATAACTGGAAATGTTGCCTCTTCCATCTTCCCACTCAAGTCCAGCATATGAAATTCAAGTGCAAGAGGTACAGCTGAGTAGAGTCTAGTCGAGGCCACAGCCTGGGGTAGGATCCTGCAAGATGATTGACCCACCACATAGCCCCGAGGTGTCCTCTCCCCATTCTGAGCACTCTTGGAGCTGGGAGAAACCTCGGTGCTCATCACACCAGTAGAGAGTGGAGCCCAGGGAGGCCAAGGGATTGCTCAAGATCACACAATAAGTTAGTGGTAAAGAAGGTGCCAGAAACTAGGTCTCTCAGCAGACAATGTTACCTCCCACTGCTATATATACCACGCTGCCTCTTGAGGAAAAAGGGTGCTTCCATATGTCCAGATGTCAGGGTTCAGTGGAAGGACACATTCACAAAAGAGGAGGGACCAACAGATCGCAAGTCTTACACTGTGGAGAAGGAAACTAGTAGTGGTTAAGCTCTGACTATGTACCAGGTCTGAGCACTCGCTCTGGGTGAAGATAAACATGGACCTGACCTTTGTGTGACCCTGAATAGGTGACTCAAATTCCCTAATCCTCAGGTTCCTCTTCTGTGACATGAAGATAAAATGAGTATCTCAGAGGATTTGGGAAAGTATTAAATACAATAATCCATGTAAAGCACTTAGCACATTTGTAAACTGGCACTGAATAAGCACTTGATATGTGTAGGCTATTATTTTTATCTATAGCAGTTTTCTTATTTAATTCTCACACCCTCTTTTTAAAAGAGGAAGGATATAGGTTTAGAGAGAGAAGTCACTCGCTCAAATTTGTATGTTCAATCACATTTGTTGAGCTCCTGCCAAGAGTCAGATGCTGTTCTAGATGAGGATACAACACAGAACAAAACCAGCAAAAATCCCTGCCCTTGTGGATCTCATGTTGAGGTGGAGGAAGATAGATAAGAAACAAAAAGTAAGTGAATTGTATGATATGCTAAAGGCTGGTAAGTGCTATGGGTAAACACGGCAAGAAAGGAGGAGACTTGGAGGCTTGCAATTTAGAGAAAGGGGCTGTGGAAGGCCTCCATTGGATGCCACTGGGCAAAGGCTTGAAAATGTGATGCAGACAAATGGATCTCTGGGGGAGGAGTATTCCAGAGACAGGGAAGCACCGTGCAAAGGCCTTGAGGCAGGCACAAGTATTGGAGGGACAACCTGGAGGCTCGTGCTCTGAAACAGTGCACAGAAATGCCCTGGGAGATGAAGTTAAGAAAATTGGTGCTGAGAAATAAGCCAGAAAGAAAAAGAAAAATACCGGATGGTCTCACTCATAGCAGGAATCTAGAAAACTTAAATAAGGGACCAGGAAAAAGAATAACTATAAGAAAGTGAAAATCAAAATCAACAAACAACTGTGAATCAGAAACACTCTATGGGGGGTGGGGAGGGATTGGGGTCAAAATAAGGGGACTGCAATTGTATGGGGAATATAAAAATAAAATTTATTTAAAAAAAAAAACTTGGTGTTGAAAGCAGGGTTTTGGGTTTTGTTTTGTAGGTGTACCATTACTTTCATTTCACAGATGAAAAATGGAGACGCAGAGAGGTTAGGGAAAGTGCCTGTTGTGCAACCACCCCAGGCTGGGCAGGTTCATGGTTGATTCAGGCAAATGGAAAAGGAATCTCGGAGACTTCAGTATATCTAACATGCCTTGAATGCTGCATCAGGGGACTGGACACACAGGCAGGGATGCAGGCAGGCAGCCACTGAGCCTCTCCGCCTCTGAGAAACTCCCCTCTATCCCTCCCTTCTTGCCTGGCTGTCTATACTTACAGGTACACATGTCCCACACTCACGGTCCTAAGTTCTTTCTTACAATAACATGTCAGGTGTGGATGACGAAACCTAGGAGAAAAGCAAAGCTGCAGGTGGTGGCTGCAGAGACCAGCAGTGGGAGGTGGAAAAAGAGCCTGAGTAACTCCATGTTCCTAACAGTGCCCCAAATCACACAGCAGAGAATGATGGAAAATGCACCCAAACTCAATTGGTCCCCAGGGACACTCTGTGCCCACCAAGTGGAAGCTGAGATTCGAATTCAGATCTGACTCCCAACTCTCACACTCCCATCCCCTTTCTCAGTCCATCACAGGCTTCCTAGACAGTTGTATGCTGTGATTGATTGGGTCAGCTCTACTCTTAGCAGAGAGGGTTTTCTGTGGTTCAAAGTCAGATACCAGGCAGGGGTGAAAAATTCCATTGCCAAATAAGTGTAACCTCTTGTTCTCAGAACCAAAAATTAGAATATAAGTTTTAGTGGGTACATGAACTCATAAAGAGAGTAGGACAGAGTATTTGAAATATTTGGTCACCTTAAACAAACACCCATGTTATTTCATCTCAAAGATCCTCAGGTATTTTACCTTTATCCACCTCCAATAAAGAGCACCTGAGAAACTCCTTCACCATCTGGGAAAGGGAAAGCTGGGGACTCTTTCAAATCCTTTACTGCTGCAGTAGCGGCAATGCCTAAATGGGCAGAGTGCAGGAGAGGTAACGAGGGAACTGGAGACCCGGTCCTGACTGCTGGGCACTCCCAGGGCCCTCTGTGTACCTTCCTTTCCCTCCCGCAGAAAGAGAACCTCTGTCCTCCTCTCGCCCCCATCCCTGCCCCACCTCTGAGGACACTGCTAGGAAGGATCAAAGAAAACTTCTTGAAAGGGCTGGCTCCCACTCCAGATAATTGCCAGGTAAACACAGTGTCTTTATGATGTAATGGGCCTGTACTGGCAGAGCCAAAAGCAGGAAATTGCTCACTTTGAGGAGGGGCAGGAACTCTCCCAGGCCATTACGGTCTACTAAGTAAGTTTCCTTTCTTTTCCAAAGTGAAATGGTTCCCTCGTGACTCAAAAAATGAACTATCTTCTACCATTTCACGGAGCATTTCGGCTACCTGGGCAGTGACATTCTTCTCTCTTTGTGAAACCTCTGCGGCAGGATCAAGTGCATCTAGTGAATGAGAAGTGGGAATTCAGGTTGTGGGGCGGGGGCGGGCTAAGGGGCTGCCCTAGAGCTGCATGAAGGAGCCCTCAGGGTTATACCAGAAAAGACTCTGTGCCTGGGTTCATCCCGGTCATTTCCTAACACCTATCCACTGTGTGACCTTGAGCAAGTCAATTCACAACTCTGGACCTCAGATTTCTCACATGCAAGATGAGAAGATAATTGCTAACCTTGCATTCAGATCTCAATTCTGTGCTTTTAAGCAGAAGAGCCTGCATGGGGCATGAAATGACTGGAATGCTTCATGATAGGTTGAGATGATGGATCTTTGTTTCAGGTCCAGAAACCCCTTCAGCTGAATGTCATTGCCACAGGCTGGACCAGGACTAAGACAGGGATTTTCACACAGGCAGCAAAAGCCACACTTATGGGAGGTACCTGGTTATTTTTACTTGGAGCTGGGGGGGTCCAGAGAAAAACATACCAATAAGACTAGGGACACACACATATTCAAACCCTGAATTTTAATATCAGATGATGACTATCGTAAGTTGCATCAACAATTTGGTATCCCAGTTGGTGCTAACTAAGCCCTCATGCTTAATTACATGCCCAGAGCACTACAATTTAAAATTCCTGGCAACCAGCTCTATGCAATTAAAAACAAAGCAACAAACAGGTCTTCCTTGCATCCCTAATATTTTGTTAGAATTTGCCCCTACTGGTCTACTTCGTTGATAAAACTTAATGTTTTTCACCAAACAGCCCCCCTCCTCAACTTGAAAATTACTCCCAACTGTGCTTCTCAGTAATGGGGCCTCCATTCTCCCCAACTGAACAAGACTCCTGGATTGAGTTGGGGGTGCTGACTCGATGCTAAATATGAGTTTTAAAATACATACTTCATGAGAGTTAGTTGTAGGGGCAGGACTGGACACAGAGCAGGTTTTCTGATCCCATGCAGACCGGGTAAAGGAGCAGTCAGAGTCCTCAGTGGTTTTTTGCAGGTCTTTTATTGGGGTTCACCAGGCATATGGCAGGCAGGGGTGCTGGGAGGCTGGCAGGCCTCCCAGACCCCAGCAAGTCTTCACTCTATGTGGGCTCTCCAGCCTTCTCCGCTTCTCTCCCAGCTTCTGTTCATTCTCGGCTTCTTGGCTTCTACTGGCGTCCCCATGACACCGCCCTTATAAACACAGTCTTAGCGCAGGTGTGCCCACTCTAGGTGCCCGCCATCAGGCATGCATTCTGGATCACAGGGTTCCCTCATCTATCCTGATGGCGAGAGGGCAGAAAAGCCTGACATTTTTCCTTACCCTATAGTAGTAGTACCTTCCTATGCAGTCAGGCTTGAAGTTTAACCCCTTGAGCAGATGTTCCCACTTCACCAGGGGTCAAAGGAGGCCCCATGAATAGAACAGAGTCTATTTGTCTCATTTTAAAAACTGGGACCATTTCTCTCTAGTCACCACCAGCGCTCCCCCCTCCCTGGTCCAGGCTGCCATCATCTTCTGGGTGTCTCCAGACACTTGTAACAGCCTCCTTTGATAGCCATGGCTCTCTCTGTTTCTCCTGCCACTTCTCCACTCCACAGCCTGAATGAGCGCTTCACAAGTTCCAAGTAGATTATGTCACCATGGTTGAAAACACTGATTTCTTTCTACTCAGAACAAAATCCAAATTCTTTACTATGGCCTGAAAGACCTACAGCTCCAGTCTCTCTTGGTAGGCGCCTCACTTTTGGGGTCTCAACCTAAATCAGTGTTTCTCAATGGGAAGCAATTTTGACCCCCAAGGGATATTTGGCAATGTCTGGAGAACTTACAGGTGCTGGCGGAGTGTGATGTGCCGCTGTCACCCAACGGCAGGCAGAGACTGGGGCGGTGCTAGAGTCTGCAATGCACAGGCCCACCCTCCAGCAGTGATGTCTGCTCCGGGATGTCAGGAGGGCTGGGGCTGAGAAAGCCTGGCTTCTATTCACCTCTTCAGAGAGACGTCCCTGACCGCCTCTGCCTACAGTTGGTCCCTCCCTGCCCCCTTGTCCTTTACATCACTAACTACAAGCTGTGACTGTTTTGTTGTTAATTACATATATGTATGTGCCACCAGGCCAGAGACTAAGTATGTCTTGTTCAGCTTCTTTGCCTTAGTATCTATGACATAGTAGGTTCTCAATAAATTTCAGTGGCAGGAAGGCAGGGAAGAAGGATGGTTGGTCAGAGTGGCATCCCCTACCTACCGTTCTTTCTGAGCATCTTGCCCATCTTTATTACCATGTGGAAAATTGAGCATTCAGTCTGGCCAATTGTATTGATAGTTTTACTAGAAAATAAACTGAGTGGATGTTGAAATTTAAAAAAAAAAAAAAAAAAATCTGTGGGGACAGGGGCCTCCCTGGTGGTGCAAGGGGTTAGTTGTCAGCACTATGAAGCAATCAGTAGCCACTGCAGCACAAGTTTGATCCTGGCCAGGGAGCGACCCACATGGCGTAGCAGACCTCTCCTGACTCGCCGGCTGCTCCCCTCAGCAGTGTATTTCAGTAGATCTGCTTGTTCTGTTCCCCACTCTGTCTCTGGCGAATATTCTTATCCCCCCCCACCCCCGCACCTCTGGCCTGTACCCCAGCTCTTGTATGCATAAACAAAGAAATCTTTAAAAAAAATCTATGGGGTCGAGGTGGCATAGCGATGTCTATATTTCTTCAGTATTGACTTTGATTTTTTCAAACAAGCTCACCTGAGGGTGGGAACCATGTCCACTCAGTCTCCACTGCAGGCACCCTGTGTTGGGCCTAGTGCTTAAGTAGCAGCTTCCCAGCGTCTGTGAATGAGTGAGTGAATGAGTTGATATCAGAGAAAAACACATGTAACCCCCAGCCTGGGGTGGGGGGAGGGTTGATCCCACATTACACCCACTTCTCTTGCAGCTCAGACCCGTTCTGAGAGCCAGCCCCCAGCTTAGGCTTTTCTTCCTTTCATTGGCGGCCATGGGAAGAGCATTGCCAATAAAAACTTCACCTCTGGGAAACTTCTACCACTTGTCAGCTATTTAAGACTGCCCTCAAGGAAAAAGAAATTTGACTTCAAGTTTTCCTAACACCCGTTTATAGATCCTCACACAAAGCACCAGACATCTACAGTGTCTTGTCATCCAGAGGCTTAGGTAGCTCTCTCAGGGGTAACCTCTCACCCCCACCCCAACAACTCCCACCCCATTTACCTCCTCCTCTACTCAGGGCTTCCAAGGACCTATGGGAACAAGCTCCAGGCTGTGAGGTTTCTATAATGCATTCCTTCCTGGAATGAGTCTGCCTAAATTTCACTTACACCCCAGAGATTAATGTTACCTTATTAGCAACACAAAATGGAAAAGACTAGGCCCTTTCAGTTTAATCTGCTTAGTTTCCGAGGCTGCAGGGAGCTTCTCCAAGGAATGTGCTTGGCTTTTTGTTAGAGGAAGTAAAGAAAAAAAAGTCTAACACATTATTGGCATAAATCTGCCTATCTAATTTAAATTGTGAAAACCTACTGATTAAGTCCTGGCTCTTATTTTTTTTCTATAGAGACTACAGATATCATTGTTATTAGGAAGTGGCATTACTGCAAATCCTGCTCTCTACCACCAGCCCCCGCCACCCCCAATCTGCTCTTTGTTCTCATTAGTGCCATCTGCTGGTGACTCACATCCTCCGGTACTGCAGTGCTTAAAAGTGTTGAACACCCTTAAGAATGGTTATATGCATTATATATATTATATTTATCTTTTTAAAAAAATAAAACCAAGAAGTTTAAAAAATTATTGATTCGTTTTAAAATAAAAATAATAGATCATTTACATGTTTAACATAAACAACATTTAATGAAAAAGTCATATTTTTAAGTCAGAAAACTATAAAAAGTAGTATTATTTTACATTTTGATACATCTCTTTCATACCTGGCTTAATGAAAGACAGCCAAATTCTCATCTGCTTCAACATTCAGTCTGTTTCAATGCCGTGGTTTCATTGAAACATATGAAGAAAATCTGGTCTAACACAGATATGTATTTGGAAAAGGGAGAAGTATCTTAATGATCTTTTCCGATAATTGTGGGTATTCTTTGATGCTATACCAAAGCTCAACAAGTTATAGTTTCCTGAAGGTTGGTTGAAATGTGGAATCCGAAACCATATCCATGAACTTTTTGTACCACGTTATAGTAAAATTCATTGGCCTGTCTTGGAGTTTGAGTAGCAGATTTTTGAAAACATGATTTTGTGACTCCATTTCCTGTCATGTGGAAAACACTGGCTCACTGAGTTATTTAGAACTTCCAACATTGAGACATTTCACTAAATGACATCAAAAATAGTTTTTGTTAATATCATTACCAATCTCATCAGAAAAGTCTTTTAAGTATTGGGAAGCTGACAAACTCATAACAGACATGAGTTTTCCCAAATTCAAGTTTTTACTTGAAAACTGGAATAGCTATCACTGGCAACAAAAACTGTCAGTTGTTTTCCATGAAGTAACAGCCTTACTTCATTCATTCTCAAGAAGATATCTGCCATACTACTCAAGCCTGAACAACCAGCTTGCTTGACAATCATCCTTTCAGTTAAAAATTTTCCCTGAAAAAAACCCAAAAAGCAAAAACAGCTAGTTCAGCTAGCAACTCAGTCACGGGCGTGCTTTTCCTGGAGACAACCGGTGGTCG